GAAAAGGTTAAAACCAATGGCAGGCATAATGCTGTTCCTGGTGGCAACATCAAAGGCGCTTACTGGACAAAACTATCTAAAAGATAAGATGAGCTCAAAGCATCCACACTGCTAGTCTGACACTTACACATCAGCAATGACACAAAGGGGGAGGCCCATTCACATTTCCTGCAGTGAGACCTTACTTTTTCAACTGTTACGAATTTTGGTCGAAGACCAGAAGTCACCATGAAGTACAGGACGGTGGTGATGTACGTGGAGATTGGCTGCTTCGTGTCCTGCTTATGTGGCTGGATTCTGGTCTCTTCAACTCTTCCCACAGAGTACTGGACTTTCTCAGAGGTGGGCACCGTAGTGCTGACCACCTCCAACTACTACTCCAACCTGTGGATGGACTGCATCTCAGACACCACGGGGGTGTCTGACTGCAAATACTACCCCTCCATGCTGGCCCTGCCTGGTAGGATACGCTGAGATATTCAAAACTTTACAGTCTCTCTTTTTAATTTCTACTCAGCTGTTCCTTTAGCTCATTGCTATGTTTTTCTATGTTGAAGATACAGTTTGAAGCAGAGATCATACAAATTCCTTTAGGTTATCTTAATAAAATGCACAACTGTTATGTTAACATAAACTGTATTTGTTTTCTTTCAGTGTTCTTGCACGCCTGCAGAGCACTGGCGGTCTGTGCTGTCATTACAGGCTTCTTCGGTGGCGTCCTCACACTCATAGGGATGAAATGTACTAAAATAGGCGGGACAGAGATTGTCAATTCAAGGGTGACATTTTCTGGTGCTATCACCTACCTGGCTTCAGGTAAACAATCCTTCAATGGTTGGTTGATCAGTTTTCAAAATAGCCAAAAAAAGGTTTTAAAATACAGCCTCTTTTCTGGTAGGGGGCTGCGGCATGATCACCTACTCGTGGTGGGCTAACAGAATCATAACTGAATTTAATAATCCAAATTTCAGGTCACAGAAGTGAGTAATTTTCAAGTGGTATTCATATTATAGTAGCTGATTTTTAAAAATAGATATTAACTTTAAAAATGCATGCAATGAAACACATCTGCATTCACTTCAGGTTTGAACTTGGAGCGGCAATTTTTGTTGGCTGGGGAGGATCCCTTCTTCTTATTTGTGCAGGGGCAGTGCTGGCCTATTTGTCTGGGAAAGAAATCCTACCATCATGGTGAGTAAAATAAATAAGTCCCTAAAGGTTGTAAAGTGGTAACCTTTCTCTATTCATGGCTGCCTGTATAGCAGGCCAGAACTAGCAACCAATAACAGTTTGGATTACCTCACCTTGTGTCTCCTGTTTTTCTAGCATCAGTTCCACCCAAAGGCCACAGAGACCAGTTTCCTACACCACTGCCCGTACCAGACGTACATACATGATGCCGCCCCCATCCTCCAGAGTGACATTAGTGCCCCCACTGTATAACAAAGGCATGGATGGCCGAACAACCAGAGCAACAAATAAGACAGATCCAACCTTGGGCAGAGACAGCTTCGTCTGAGCCAGAGGGAACCAAGAGCGAAGAGAACAGAAAGCGTATGATTACCCATACAATATGAAGCTGTAGCATAAAGGAGACAATGCTCTTACTGGTTGGTGTTGTAAATTACATTTGAGTCCACAAGGTGGACGAGGTGTATTTTGTATAAAAATTGGCCAACCTCCTCAAAATTCCATGTCTCCAATCATCTTTGTACAAGTTCAGTTGCTAATATAAGTTATAAAATGTTTAACAATTGGCCTTTAATGTATTACTGGTGCATTTCCTTACTTATAATATTCTGCACCAATTTTTCTGTTTGCAAGTTTTTTAATGCTTAAAGTCTCTGCAATAAAGTTGTGTCCCTGAGTTGCCTGTGCCACCAGTGACTCTTATGTAAATCCCTCTGAATGGGTCCCTTCATTGGGGACTTAATGAGGGGACCAATTCATCTTCATCTTTTTCTTGATATTTCAGAATGGCTAACTGATGTGTTAAAGCATAACATGACCAACCTGTTACTCTTATTTACCATACAAACTGATCATTTTTGTAATTTTGATCAAGTGGTTGATAAGCATTTTAAAACTTCTTTTTGAGTTCTTTGTGTTCATGCCTGGTTTGTGTTGTGGAAAAATAATTTGAGCATCGAAACCAAACTGATTTTCTGAGATTTATTGAAGGAAAGTTAAAACCTTCCCAAGGGATCAATAGAGCCTGAACAGGGTTTGTACCAGCATTGAACAACAGGCAAGATAATAACAGCTCCTTTGCATGGATACAATCTTGGTCTGTTCAGCGGTTAGGAGTTAAATTTAGTTATAGTGATTCATCACTATTAAAAGCTGTGTATAAATTATTTTATTTTCAATGATAAGAAATTGAAATTAAAATTTACTGGCATAGTTTTTTGTGTTTTGTCATTCACCCCCAACTAATGGGACAGACGCTGCCCCTCCCTGAGCCTGGTTTTGCCGGAGGGTTGTGAGAATCTTCCGGAGGTTTCTTCCTCCAGCAGAAAGGGAGTTTTTTCTTTCCACTGTTGCCAAAGTGCTTGGTCATAGGGGATGGCCTTATTGTTGGGATTTCTGTATACTATTGTAGGGTCTTTACCTTACAATATAAGGTAAGGTATATTATAAGAAAGCCCTCTGTAAAGCTAGAACATCTTACTATTCATCACTGATTGAAGAAAATAACAACAACCCCAGGTTTCTCTTCAGCACTGTAGCCAGGCTGACAAAAAGTCAGAGCTCTTTTGAGCCAACCATCCCTTTAACGTTAACTAGTAATGACTTCATGAACTTCTTCACAAATAACATTTTAATCATTAGAGAAATTGTTACTTAATTAATTAATTACTTCCTCCAAACCTCAGTGTCTTTTAGACCCCATTCCTACAAAACTGCTCAAAGACGTCCTGCCATT